TCAACATGAAGAATATCTGCATTTCCCAAGAGTCTTCCCGAATGTCCACCTTCTTCCTCATCAACCCCCTCTGAGATAGCAACTAGTTGCCCTTCTAGCACAGAGATTAGGGGTAGGAAGCAGTCCCCAGCTCTGACTTCATCACCCAATAAGAAGTCAATTTACACAAGTCCCTCCTCTTCCTCTGTGTCTCAGGCCATGGATCAAGTGAACTTTGAGGACATTTTCAGTTCTAATTATACCAAGGGAGGAATGAGAAGTGAGATATTGTCTCTCAAGGGTCCTTAGTAACTGAGTGGTAAAAATTATCTCCCAACTTCCATTTACCACATCAGAGGGCATCTCTATAAATGACTTGCTTCAGCTGCATCAAATAAGTTTGTGCATATGAGAAAGCAACATTTAGGTCTTGAGAATTAAAACAAAAGTTTTACATTCTTAAAATGTAAAAATGGGATCGATTTTGACTCTTAGCGACCCTACAGGTCAGAGTAGAACTGCCTCTGTCAGTTTGTGAGACTGTAACTCTACAGGAGTAGAAAGCCCCATCTTTCTCCCGCAGAAACATTGGTAGTTTTGAACTGCTGGACTTGCGGTTAGAAGCCTTGCACCACCAGGGCTCTTCCCAAACTTTTTCCTATTTCATATTAGTCAAACAGCTGCACTGAATTCTCCAGGAAGGCAATGAGAGCCAAACAGTACCTGTCCCTACACGAAGAGTGAACAACACTTGTCCAAATGATCCAAATGGAAAGAGGAAATTCTCGGGGCTACAAGAGAAAACATAGGTAGAGTTGTTTTGTTTTGTTTTCAGACTTGAATTTTTTAATTTTATGTACAAACAGTGGGCATTGTTTCTTCTGTTGGGTAGCTATCTTGGATAGTCCATTCAAAGATCACTTAGTCCAGCTTGATGAAGCCCATGTCCTTCGCGTGTACTGATGGAAACACTGATGGCACATATTGAGGCCATGTTTCCCGATCAGACCATGCGGGTTGACCACATGTGGCAAGAACGGGAACCCTGGCCGAATTTTCGCATAGAGCTGCTGCTGACCCAAGTTGTTTCCAGGCTCTCTCCAAGGCACAAGGGCCGTAGGTAGAGTTTTCAGTGGGCAAAGACCTCATTTCCAGACGAGAGATCAGAACAGGCCAAGCAGTGATGGCCTGAGACCTGGACCTTGAATGGCATGCAGTCGTTCAATAGCCATCGTGAGAGCAAGAATTCACTTCTTCCATCGCTGTGCTGGTCTTTCATGAGGATCACACCAACCAGCTGCACAGAGATTTCCCTACCCAGTCCTCACAGATTCCATCTGATTTACATCTTCAAGTGAGTAAATGATCATTGGGCACAAGGGATCCTTTATGGGAACAGCTCCGTCTCCTCTGGAGAAGAACAACATGCTTGCTAAAGTAGAAAGTCAGCGAAAAAGAGGACAAAGCTCAAGGAGATGGATTAACGCTGAAGCCACAGCACGGGGCTCCTGCATAATAATGGTGCCGGTGATGCAGGACTGGGGGATTTTACCTTCTGTTGGACATAAGCTCCCTGTGCAGCAAGGAACCAATGTACCACCTGCAACAAAGAAGCAAAACAAGTCGAGAAAAGGCGCTGTCCACAGAGCCACTGCAATTGAGTGATTCTGGGGAGAGAGGTGATGTTTGAGACGGCAGGTGCGGGGGAGGGGTCCCCGGTGGCCTGGGGTCCAGAGCAACTGGCCAGTGAAGGGACACGAAGCCCGTCGGTCGGGAACCCCCGGACAGGAGCAGTGGACACCGGATTCGAGGCTTTGAGTCACTTCGCCCTTGGGCCCTTCTCAATGGGTGTCCCCATGTCCTTGGCCCGCAACTTGAGGCCAATGGCCCTTTCAGTCTTGCCCAGAACCTGGTTGTTGGGGATGGCCCGCCGGCTCTCATAGTCGGTGACGACTTGGGGCTTCTCGTTGATTTTGGTGGCCAAGTCCTTCTGCGTGAGCTCCTTGCTCGGTTGGCCCTGCTGGACGACCTTGCCCACTTCCAGGGTCACGCGGGCCAGCGTGGCGGTGTTCTTGGTGACAGAGTGCTGCTGCTTCTGACCAGCGGCCCATTGCTTGGACGTCTCCAATTCTCCCCTGTCTCTGTGCTGCCAGGAGGGCCTGCTTGGAGTTGGCTTGGGCGGCCGTGGGGTCCTTCTTGCGTAGCACGGTCACAGTGTCCCAGTCGCTCTCGGCCATGCGTCCGGCGGCTCCGTGGAGGCTGCTCGATGGCTCCCGCTTTTCAGATGCAGACATGGAGGCTCAGAAATGGAATTTCAGCGCGGTCACATGCCTCCTAAATTTCAAGGTCCAAACTTGCACTTGCTCTTCTGGATTTGCATAATTTCTGTTTCAGAATAGGTTCCTTTTCTAGGAATACAAGCAAATAAGAGTTTAATTGGCTAGGAACTTTTGTCTAAGGAACTTGATCATCCCTTCTCACTAAGAGGGAATGAACTGTGTTGAACCCGGCCTGTGTTTCCTCAGTAAAGAATGCTCACAGCGTCCATTTGTACAGCTTGAAGCGGGAACGTGGAAGCTCACCAGCTCAGTCAATTGGGGGAAAGACAGGAGCAGGAATGGGAAAAGAGATACCAGATGGGAAGGGTGAAGGGGGGAGAGGAGGGGAAGAAGGGGAAACTAGCCCGCACACAACCACACACACCCCTCCAGGGGAAAGAACAACGGAAACCATGGGGGAAGGGAGACAGTGGTCCGTGAGAGACATGACAATGATAATTTATAATCTATCAAGGGATCACGAAGGGGAGGGGGGAGGAAAAGGAGGATCTGATACCAAGAGCTCAATAGAAAGTAACTGTCTAGAAAGGAATGATAGCAACATATGTACAAGCATGCCTCATACAATTGATGGATGGATTGTAATAAGCATTGTAAGAGCTCTCAATAAAATGACTTTTTTTTTTTAATTAGGGGAAAAATATACTAAGCAAGACATTTTGCTTTGGGGTTTATTTTGTGTATATGTGTGTGTGTGTGTGTATTTACACCAATAAAATCTAAAGGATCTGAAATATGATTTGTTCCCAAAAGGCAGAGTTGCTACCATTAGTGTATGGTGGGTGCTCTACGTTGGCTGGGAGAAGTCAGAAATAATGTCCAGCTACTAGATATGTTTGCTTGTTTTTCTTCACCACCCCCCAAAATGGAAGTGTGACTGCTGCTATCATTGATGTTCTCTGCCTTAATTCATTTTCCCAGTTTGGGGTGTATTTTGAAAGAAGACAGACTTCCCTTCTTCTACATCTCTGAATATACATCATAGGCTCGTGGGTTCCCTTTTTAAAACCATGGTTTCTATAGTATTCATTCTTGCATTCATTTTTCAAACTCTGATTTGAGTTGTGGATGTGTGGTAAGGAACTGAGTTAGGCACATGGAATATGAAGTAAATAAAACATGTTTTGTTGGTTTTTGCCCCTGAGTTGATTTCAAATCATGGGTACCCATGTGATAGAGTATAACTTCTCTGTGTGTTTTCAAAGACTCTGTGACCTATTGGAATTAGACTAGGCTTTGTTACCACAGTGCTTCTCCCCAGATTCAAATAGTCCACCTTTCAGTTAGTATTCAAGAGAGTGACTACTCTGTTTGTTCCTCCCAGGCACTCCTGAACAAGACGTTTGTTGTTGTGTGCTGCCAATGAGAAACACTGATAGCCATCTCGTAGGACAGAGCAGGTCTATTGTATAGGGTGGCTAGACTTTCGGGAGAAATTCACCAGGTCTTTTACTTACCTTTCTGTTAGTTGCCCAGCACTGCTACCATTGTGCCACCAACACTCTTTGAACAGGCTTAATTCTCAGTTAAACAGATAAGGAAGCAAACTATTCCATACGAAGTAGCAAATGCCACCATAGAATAATCCTGACCCAGTCTTGGAGGGAGGAAATGACACTTCTGGTATTCTAATGCTGCAAAATGATGACATAAGGTTTGCTTTTCCTGTTGCCAAGGAAAAAGAAACTAAGTTTCAGTGCTCAAATTTATTCAATTATTCATTTATAAAATAAAAATGTCAGTGCCGCTACTTACCTGGGTGGAGTTGTATAATCAGTTTGCACCAGTTGCAAACCCAAAAGTTGGTGGTTCTAAACTTCACAGACATGTCTGGTGAACTGCTTCAATAAGGGTTACAGCCAATACACATAGGTCACAGTGAGTCGCCCTGACATGCTGGCAGTCTGAAACAATAGCTGACTGAAATGCAGTGCTGCTCTGACACGTACAGAGCCAACGTGAGTAGGAATCAATGTAACAGTAGCAGGCATGGTTTGGTTTTGGCACAGAGAATATTGTAGCAAGCACGTGAAATCCCTGTGTTGACAGAATATACATTCTTATGAGGAGGTAAGATATGAGCCAATATACCCACAGCGTGTTAGATGTTGAGAAGCACTAAGAATGATATGAAGAAGCACTAATATGCTATAAATATAGTTACTATGGTTGATAATAAGATGGACAGGATGGATAATAAGATCTCTCTAACAAAGTTTGGATGAGGAAGGTCACATTTGAAGTAAAATCTGAAGGAAGCAAGACAATGATTCACTTAGAGGAATAGCATTTCTGTCAGAGGGGACAGCAAGTGCACACCTAAGTAAAGTTGATGTGTTTGAAGAACAGCAATGTGTTTGTTGAGGTTAAATGAAAGAAAGAAATGGGATATAGATCATGTTGGCCTTTTAGGACTTGATTCAGAGTTCAGCTCTTGACTCTCAAAATAATTAGAAACCATTGAAAGTGTTAAGCAGACGTTTACTTTTTTTCATTGTGTGGTTTGAAAGGATCATTCTAGTTGTTAGGTATAGATACACACTCTCAAGGGCTATGGAAATTGGGATGAGTGCATTTCGAAGGGTACTTAACAGATAAGGTGAGTTTCATATCATACGACTTGGACCAGGATAGTATAGTGTTGTTGTTAGGTACCATCAACTCCGCTTCAATCTATAGCAACTGTATGCACGAGTGAACAAAACACTGCATGGCCAGAGCCATCTCACAGTTGTTCCAATGCCTGAGCCCTGTGATGCAGCCATTGTGTCAATCCATCTCATCCAGGGGCCTTCCTCTTTTTCACCGCCCCTCCACTTTACCAAACAGGATGTCCTTCTCCAGGGACTGGTCTCTTCTGAAAATATGCCCAAAATATGTAAGATGAAGTCTTGCCACCTTTGCTTCTAAGGAACACTCTGGCCATATTTTTTCCAATACAGATCTGTTTGTCCTTTTAGTAGTCCATGATACTGTCACTATTCTCCTCCAGCACCACAATTCAACTGCATCTGTTCACCGACTGTCTTCCTTATTCGATGTCCAACGTTCACATGTATATGAAGCAATAGAGAATACCGTGGCTTGGGTCAGGCACACCTTAGTCCTCAAAGTAACATCCTGGCTCTTGAATACTCTTCTTGTGTGACAGATGTACCCAATACAACACATCTTTTGATCTCTCGATTGTAGCTTCCCTGTGCATTCATTGTGAGTCCAAGCAAAACAAAAGCCTTGACAGCTTCAACCTTTTCTCCATTGATCATGATGGTACCTATTGCTCCAGTTGTGAGGATTTGGATCTTCCTTACATTGAATTGGAATCCATACTGACGGCTTTGATCTTCATCAGCAAATGCTTCAAGTTCACCTCGCTTTCAGCAAGGCTGTGTCATCCGCATATTGCCGGTTGTTAATAAGCCTTCTTCCAATCCCGAGGCCACATTCTTTTTCATATAGTCAAAATTCTCTGGTTATTTGCTCCACATACGATTGAATAAGTATAATGAGAGGATAAAACTTTACACACTACTTTCTTGACTTTATGCCATACACTATTCCCTTGTTCTGTTCACACAGCTGTCTCTTGATCCACATACAGGTTCCTCATGAGCACAATGACATGTTCTAGAACTCCCATTCTTCAGTGTTATGATCCGCACAATCAATGTGGTTGCATTGTCAATAAAACGCAAGTAACATCTTACTGGGATTCTCTGCATTCAGCCAAATCCATCTGACATCAACTATGATATCCCTTGTTTCAAATCTTCTCCTGAACCACTAGCAGCTCTCTGTCAATGTACTGCTTCAATGTTGTTGAACGATCTTCAGCAACAGTTTATTTGCATTTGATACCAATGATATTGTTCTGTAAATTGAGCCTTCAGTTGGGTCACCTTTCTTTGGAATGGGTATCAACATGCATTTCTTCTAGGCAGGTGATCGAGTCTTCCATCTTTCTTGGCATAAACTGCGGAAGGCTTTCTGTGCCCCATCACCCTGTTGGAACACTTCCATGGATATTCTGTCAAATCCTGGAGCCTTGTTAAAACCTCAGGGAAGTTTGGAGTTTTTCCTTCAGTGCCATTGGTCCTTGCTCATATGCTGCCTCCTGAAATGGTTGAATGTCAACTAGTTCTTTTTGGTATAATGACCCCATGTTTTCTTTCTATGTCCCTTTTATGCTTCTTGCATGGTTCAATATTTTGCACATGGAATCTTTAGATATTGCAACTCAAGGAACTAAGCCATGGTATTTTCAATTCCCTGGTATGCCTCTGAAAGGTGGATATTGCATATGGAAACCAGAAAGAGAATGAATGCATTTGAATTATGGTGCTGGAGAGGATTATTGAAAGTACCATGCACTGCAAAAATAACAAACAAATCTGCCTTAAGTGAGGTACAGTCAGAATGCTCTTTAGGAACAAGATTGGCAAGACTTCATCTCCTGTACGTTGGACAGGTTATCATGAGAGACCAATCCCTAGAAAAGAACATCATGTTTGGTACAGGGGAGGGGCAGTGAAAACGAGGAAGACCCTCAACACGACGGATTAACATGGTGGCTGCAACAATGGGCTTGAACGTGACAGTGACTGTGAGGGTGGCACAGAGCCAGAGAGAGTTTCGTTCTCTTGTACATGGAGTCACTATACATCAGGAGGGATTCGATGGCACCTAACAACAACAGCGATCCTATCTGAAATAGTGACGTCAGACAAACTGAAACTCCATTTAAAATGAATATTTTCGCTTCCACCTTTCTAAAGAAAGTCTTTCAGCATTTTTTCTTGTTAAAGTGCTTTTATTCTAATAACAAAGAAGAAAAGACACACTATCTCATTGTTAAGCCATCCTAATGACTCCTCAAATCGCCAGGTGAGGTTATCTGA